CTGCTGAATTAAAGCAGCAACACTTGTGTCACAAGACTGGAGGAGTGAAACAAACTACTACATAGAAACCCGATGATTAAGTCAAAAATCTGGGTCGTGGGCAGCTTGCTGACGTGCTGCCTGTTCTACAGCCGTGTAAATCCGGTCGCAAGTAAACTTGCACGACTGGAGATGAATGCTCCCGAGCTGCCCGTGTTCTCCCGCGCAGGCCAGCTATCTTCCGGTTTGCGCTTTGCCACAGCAAATGAGCAGAACTGGAAGGCTGCGCTTGGCATAGGCTGAGGTCATTTCTTCCAGTGAGTCTGTGCGTTGAATTGACGGAAGACGCACAAAAAGCATCTGACTTCAATCTGCGCCCTAACAGCTGAACCACCAGAGGGCCTGCAGTGGAAGAGCTAGCCGTCACTAACCGGGAGGGAAAGGTTAATTCTGACAAATGCTTTCTTTACTAATAATCGGCTTTAAATCCTGCATGTAATTTGAATGCTATACGAAGAAATAAACCCTAAAAATACAGAAAAAAACTCCTCTGAAAACATTACCAAAACTCACTCTTGAAAAACATTACCTTAGGATGACTAGGAAAGGATGAAAAGGAAAAAATAGAAAGCTTATTACATGGCCTAAAGATAAGCGTATGCATAAACATGGTCTTGCTAATATGCATGAACCAGTAAAACCAATATTGCTGTGAGATCTCAAGGAACATTTGGATGAATTCGGTTTAATCTTTCTATCTTTTTTGGTTTTGGTTTTTTGTTTTTTTTTTTCCCCTGTTCTGTATGACAAATAATAGAGCACAGCACTTTGAAACTGGAATAGTTCTCCTCTAGAGCCATCGTGTGACCACGATGTTGGAGTTATTTGGAAATACAGATACTCTGCAGAGAATATTGGTAATAACAATTTAAAAAAACATATAGACTGGTGATGGCCAAGACACTGATTCAATCTGACAGCATCCAGTATGATCAGATGATACTCTGTGCAGGCTTGCTACTGGATTTTTTGTCTGGGCTGTGCAGCTCTTGTGTAAGGGCATCTTTCCTGTTCAATCCTTTATACTTTTTCCCCCACCGTTCCCAAACTTAATTTTTTTTTCGCCAGACCTGTTACTGCTATATTATTGTAAGAAAAAAATTGACTTGAGAGCATCAGCTCAGGCTTTGTGCTGTAACGTGTGGTAACACGTTGATTCTTCTCTTGTCTACACGCCTGGTGTTCCTTTCAGAGACCTAAGCGTATATCCTAAGGTATGGCATACGTATTTCTTTTAATTATAAGAAGATTTCAGTACATAAATCTCAGTGTTGTAATTCATTCTTTTAACAGTGTAATACTGTGAGACACTTGGTATTTGCTAAATTTTGCTTTGCTGAACTCCTGTTCGTCTTGTTACATTCGTTAGCAGGAAGGAATCTGACAAGCTTTTACATTTTGGCTTTCTGGATGTAACCTGAAGTCTGAATTTTTATGTATGTGTATTAACATCCTGTTCAGGACCAAAAATGAAGATGGTGAGCTCCCTCTGATAAGTTGCATTGCTTGTTTAAATTTTTAAAAAGTCAAGGTTATGTAAACTGAATGTTCCCCAAATAATGTTGCCGGTGTTTTTTATTCTTTTCTGGGTGCAGATGGCTCTAGCCCTTCCCTGGTCCCAGCTGAAATTACCGTGTCCCGAGTACGTTGTGAGTTGGAATCTACCTCGCCCTTCTCGGACCGAACGTGCTCAGCGTTCCTGTGCCTCCCTACAGCTTCCCTTCGGGAGCGTGGGGAGGGGTAACGTGCTCCCCATGCTCTCATTTGTTTGGGTACCCCTCTAATATTCTTCTTTCCAACAGCTGGCTGCTTTTCTTCAGGGGTAATGGGATGTCCTTAAGTGGCTATCGAGTCCTTTGAGATGACCAATTCAGATGAATTAATACACTGATGTATGCGATGCAACAGGTTCTGTGCTGATGTAGAGTCTAAACATTGTCTGTACAGGCCCTTCCATGTTGGGAAGAAGGGTGGAACTGTTGTGCAATATAGTTGGGGGTGTGGTTTGTGGGGGGGGGGGGGGGGGGGGGGCGTTTTGGGTTTTTTGGCCTTTTTTGGGGGTTTTTTGTG